CAGGAATTCCCTCCTCTGTCTCCAGCATCACCTGTCCTGGGTGCAGGCTCGGTTTAAACTCAGGTCTAAAGATCAGAAAGGCAATTGTAAGAAAAGGTTTAGAAACATAACTGTCCTTGATGGCCTTGCTTTACCAAAGAAAGCGTGTTATGATATTAAAACCATACTTTCAGCAAATGTGGGAATGGTCTTTTAAAGAAAACCTGTATTTATGTCTGCCTGGCAGTGTTATTCTCTGGTAGATGCATCTGGCTGTGCGTGATAGAGTATAAAATAACTTGCATCGCTGCGTTTCATTTCGATGAGGTGCTTGTGCATGGTGAAGTCTGCTTTGATTTAGTTATATTTAGAGGCGAGATGATGTCAATCTGTTAAATAAATTCAGCCAAAAACCACATTTGAGTTTAATAGTTCATTGGGGAATTTGATCATGGAAAATTCATGAGTCTCTTACAAGAAACTCTTGAACGAGTTGTTTGTGCCTCAGTTCTTTTCATGCTGCCAACGTTACAGTTTGGAGATAACTGAAAATTGCATTTTCCTTCTGGTGACAGGAGGAGATACCAAAACTATGCATGTGTAAAACATGAATTTGAAGAGATTTTGTCCTACGGTTGTTCAGAACTCCATTTTGAGAACATATTATAAACAGTCCAGGCAATGTTAACATTTCTGGTTTGTGCTGTTTACTTCTGCAGCCTTGAACTGCGTGCTATCCAAAACAAATATTTCGTGTCTAACTCTGCTAATTGGTATAACTGGAGCTTTTCTAGATTCCTTCAAAGCTATTTAAATCTTTTGCAATGTATCAAGTTCGATAATTGTTTAGACAGGGGTAGAATCTACAGGATTCTTCACCTTGGAACCTCCATCCCAGGGTGGCACCTTGGACCATTTCATAACATTTGTCTTTTCTGGCCTCTTAAGTTCTTAATTTTACAATAGCTGTTTAATGCTCTGGCTCAGATGCTTTTGCAGATGGGATTCTCTTAACATGAGCATTAGTTCCACTTGTTTGTGCAGGTGAACACAATTTTCCCCCCAAAGCCATGGACAACAGTCACCTTTCAGTCTTTTCCTGCTTAATTGGGACAAGAACTATAATTTGCTAACATGCTAAGAGTAAAGCCGACAGCTAGTCTAGGAGCTCAGTTTCTGAACTGCTTTTCCCAGGTGCCTTGTTTTCCCTTTTATAATCCCTTGGGAACACGGCACTTGCAAAACCCTCTGGATTCTCCCTTGCTCCAGCTGTCACCCCATAATAAACCCAAATTTGGATATTGGGAATTGCTGGAGCGATGCCTTGTGCCCCCCTCGTGCTGTGGACGGGGAGAGGGTCTGAGGGAGGCTCCCATTTCCAGCAGCAGCCA